TCTACGGCTGAAGGTGAAACATAAATCTATATTTAAAATGAACATATGCCTACCCATACATCCTTGTGTGTCTAATAGTGGTTATGCTTCTTATCGTGACAAAGCCTTTTATCTGTCTTTCTCTATTTTGTCACCTCTGAATTATTCGGTGAAACATCTGCATAGTTTATTATCGTTCCTGGGCGATTTATTGTTTTCACCGTAATATTTCTAGGTGTAGGGTGAACCACTCCGTAACTCATGGATTGTTTGGTTTCAATCGAGGATTTCTCGTACGTATACATATACATGCGTAAGCTGCCTTATTCTTTATGGAAATGTGTGTACGTATATAATAATGAACGGCTGAGCTATTATGTAAAATTATCAAAAATTAGAAGACACCTTCAGAAGTTTGCTAAAACTTGTAAAATGTTATTGGCGTTTTTACAAGTAAACGGATACTTTTATTTTTCTAAATCTAAACAGTCAGTAACTTTAAAATAAAGTTATAGTATTCAGAGCTGGTAATACTAGAAAGTATTGTTTGCCGATTAGTACTAATTACGTAAAATGTTATATACAGATAAAGAAGGATGTCTTAAAGTGTGTTATTACATAGGATTCACAAGAACGATTTGCATATACTAATATAGTGGTATGTCCCCACTTGGTTCACGACAAATACCCGACTATGAGACATTATAGACAAGTTGGCTGTGAGAATATAAATAAAATTGTCAAATGAGAAATACTGTTAGACAAAATTGTTAAATGACGTGTAACCAAAGGCACCAACATTTCGAAGAAAGGAGCCTCCAATTATTTTAATTGAAGCGAAAATTTCGATTGACAGAGCAGTTAGGACGGCAGCTGGCACCGAAATCACAAACCAACCCAATCAAAAACAACATCCCCACCCACAACGTTTAGTTACGAAAAAGAATCTTCCTATTACCAAAGCACATCCGACAAAGATGAGCATAACCCATCGTATAAACAAGGCTGAGTCTTCCCGCTCCTTGCTGGGATCAGTTAAATGATTATGTTAAGTAATTTAAATGCAGTTGCTACATTAAATATTCATTATCAATTGCAATCGTCATGAGTTAGATTGGGGCCATTTTACTACCTCTTGGGGGACCGTTTTATCCGATGTGATAGTTAAGGTGGCCTTCAACCACGAGAAATTGTTTCTTCAATATCTAAAAAAAGCGTCTAATCTTTGTTTTAACTACAAATTGAACTTATAATATACCTTTTAGCTTTTTCATGAAATTCATCTTAATTGGTAAAAACTGCATTCAAAGTTAAGAATCATTTTACCCCAACTTTCTCTATGGACAATCAAAAATATTTTGGATTTGATGCTCTTACATCTGGAATATTTTCTCAGAATATAATGTTTAGTACGTATCAGATACTAAAGTTTTTCATACGTGCATGCGCAGAAGCAAAAATTAAATTGTATGTTGTATGTTTAGCGTTATTAAATTCAGGTTACATGCTCGTGTTTATAAGTTTTATCAAAGAAACAACTCCAACTTCAACATGAGAATCTTTATTTGATGCAAAAAAAAATTATTACGATTGCTCGAAAATAACAATAGTATGTAACTGAAGCATGTTCCAAAAAATATAAAGCCATAGCTACACAATTATAAATCCACAGCTTATTGTAGTATATCTTCTTATGTTACTAATAATAATTGTAATACATTTTTACATGTATTGTTACAGCGCTTGAATCACGAATACATTTTCCATTACAGACATACAATGCTATCCAGGCCAATCCTGCCTTTACACATTTACATATTTTTACATCCACATCGAATTAGTTCCTGTGCGCTTATTTACTAAAACTTCCAAAATATTCATTCAAAAAGGATTTAACAGTTCCGTTATCTAATCTTTGCCATTGCCAATTTTTTTTAATTTGAAAAGATAGGCTGAAATGCCTTCGTAATCTGCTCTTTGACATTGTTAGTGATGGTGGCAACCTCTACATTGTACGAACATTTCTTTGCGAACACTTCTTTCTTCGACTGATGATTTTCTATCACTTATTATAACATCAATATAATACAAAGTAAATAATTATTCAATAAAATTTTCTTAAACGTGCAATACGTTTGCACATGCTCTGTCATTCATTTATGATGGATCATAAACCCTTAAATTCATCAATTTGTACAGTATCCTGTTATTGATTGAACGTCATCATAGTACAGGAAATGACATGTGAAATATAAAAAATTAAGGAACAAAGCAAACTTCATTTAATAAAAAATCTAAATAAACATATCTATATACATATATAAGTTAATACTGTGCCTAAAATGTTATCGAAAGTAAAACAATGTTCGCTATAGTTTCTATTGTAAAACAAGGATCAAGTTAGAATCAGTGAATAACATTTCTAAAACTATAAGCTACAAATACAACAAAAAAGAATCAATTTTCGTGTAAGACATTTAGAACCAGTTTACCAAACTTCATTAAGTGAAATTAGACACTTTTACCAGTACTTTACTTTAAACGACTCTACGCATTCGTATATATATGTGCATAAATTATTTTTAGCGCCTTTCGAATTAATAGTACAGTTTTATTAATTGTTTGAATTATTTTCGACAGTGATGGCCTCTCATAAATTATAAATAATTTTGCGCATACACAGAAGTGATTATTCAATGTGGCTCCACATATGAATTTAAGCTACACGTCCATTTCTACTGCTGTGTTTTTATCATTAACAGCACAATTCTTTAGCCTCGTTGCTCTGTTACAGGTATTTGTAGTTGGCAGAAGCTCAGAAGCCAAAAGTTCACAACCCTCCAGCCACACCTCAAAATCGTAAGAAGGCTGAAGAAACTGGAATCATAACATAAAAATCTCATTCGACTACTTACCTGTTAAGTTCTGTTATACAGCCCAAATGGACTTATGTGCTTTTTTTTTCCTGCTTAAACGTGGGCTCGGAAGCCGATGACGATGCAAAGTGGAGGATTAAGAAAGGTTGTCAAGATGTATGTTCTACACTTGAGCTCTCCACTTTTCGCAGACGTTGTTACAATGAAAATTGCAGTGTCAGGCAAAAGAACCTAAACAGGACCATCAGCAAGAGCACGATTTATGATGGAGGAGCACGAGGCCTAAAACTAGTTCTTATAAAGTACGATTAACCCACTTAAAGAGACTTGAAAACTTATTAGTGCCCTTCACATAAGATGTGATTGACAGTTAAAATGATTTGTTCAATCTATTAGTTTTCTGAACATAAAACGTGATATGCAGTTCTTGGGTGGATTTATATCCGCTTTTTTTTTTATACTGCCGTTTTTACGTGCTCGAAAGATACAACTCAGTTCACATATTAATTCATATTTCCATATTATCCTCACTAAAACAATACAATCTGGCCGTTTCGAACAATTTTTCAGAATTTTCCGACAAAGCGAACAATTAGCTTGCAACTTAACAACAAATTTAAATATTAAACAAAATCATGCAGGATGACATTTTATTTGATATTTTATACACACAAAACATTACAGTAAATTAAGTATAACTCAACTAATAGGTTTTTAACTGTAGCTACTGATATTCAACAAGATATTAAACTTTAATAGGAAACACTCAAAACTATTTTACCTAAACTTTTACCAAGCATAATCATTTCATTTTTAAAACTATAATGAGCTTTATGAACTTCTAAACGCTTTTTGTCTTCTATTTTACCCCAGGAAACACGCAGTTTGTTTCTGTCAAGTTGAATGTATGTGTCTGAACAAATTAACATCAAATATATCTGGTAATATTGTCCTCACGTTTGACATAAAAATGAACTTGTTGCTGAGTTTAATAACTTTTTACACTCTTTTAAATGATTTGACGGGTAAGTGTTTCCGTTTTTCAATCTCATATCTTTAAAACTGTTAAAAGTATTTCCAGTTTATTATTATGTATTCAGTAACGAAAAAAAACTATTTTAAAATAGTTTTCTATTAAATCACAATATTTATTAGTTTTATCGTTAATTTATAAAAGAAAATGTTTATAGGTCATTAAAATAATTGTTATGAAAAAATTGTTAACTTAATATTCATCAAAGAATTAAAAATAAAACTGAGCAATGATCGAAACTACAAATCAATCAGAAAAAAAAAACTGGCTTGCATGAAGGATTATAAGTCGACCAAAACACTATAAAAACAAGCTGGCTTGTATGAAGGATTATAAGTCGTCCAAAACATTTACACAAGACGAACAACAGCGTTTATATTAAAAATGAATTCAGTGTATAGCGGCTACTGGAAACTATAAAAAGAAACCAACGAAATATTACTTATCAAATTTTCTGTGGAATACAGAAATGGAATATCCTGCCGATATGCGGGATATTAAAGTAAAATTTGTGAGATTTCGTGACCTCAATATATAAAAATCAAACAAGTCGAGAGCTTCTTCAGCCTACAATGTGAAGAAGTTACAACTGTTACGAAAGATTAGAGAATCAATAGAAAATGAAAGAGATTAAAATATTATAATAAGAAGGTAAAATTATCAAAAAAAAATGAGTTAATTAAAAATGAAACACTTCTATCACAACCCATTTTTTCATAAAATCTATTATCTAAGATATTTCAAATGCGTCATTTCACTAGTCGCAGGACTTGTATTCTTCTTTGTGAAACATGTAACAAATGTCAGGTATTGAATGTATAAACCACATTATTAAAGTAAAAAAAAAAGTCCATTTCAAATGTTGATTATTATTTAAATGTAATTTCACTATGTATATTTGACGAATATGGAACTGATGGATTTGTTTTTCTGTTATTAATTGTTTGTTTGTTTTTAATTATGCACAAAGCTACACAAGGGCTATCTGTGCTCTGCTCACCACGGGTATCGAAACCCGGTTTCTAGCGTTGTAAGTCCGCAGACATACCGCTGTGCCACTGGGAGGCATTCTGTTATTAAGCACAAAGCTACATTATAGGTATCGAAACCCGGTTTTTAGCGTTATAAGCCACCACACTTATCTCTGCTAAGCCACTGGGGGGCAGGAACTGATGGATGGCCACAGTTTTCAAAGGCCAAATAACCTTTGCCAGAAAGAAATCATTAAATTTTCCATTCTTATTGTTCATATACTTGGATAATTATATAAAATAAGGGTAATTATTATAAACATCGAATTCAGCTACATTTGTGTCATCACTGACAGTATTATGTTAGAATAATAACATACTATTATTTGATTGAAACTCTTTCTTGCAGTACGTTAAATAGGTTATATTAGTGAAAAAAAGCCGAAAGATAAAGGTGGCTTATGATGCTTAAACAAATTTATTTTTCACGATTATTTGAAAGTATATATACGAAGAATTTTAGACTGATGTGAAGAAGTATGAACAGCATGACTGTAGTCAGTTTTCTATCTAAAAATGTTCAATACTTGAATGTATGCATTTGTGAACTATACAAGTCATTACGTACTCTTTCATGAAAAATGATGAAGAAAATTTTGTATCCACAACTTCATTAAATATTATGTTGATCATAAACCCAGGAACTATTACACAATTAAAGGTAGATGTAACTAATTACACTAGTCATTCATAATTTGTTATACAGCTTAAGTCAGGTAATCGTTAGTTAAGACAGAAAGCAATCGATTTGTATTCTAAATAACTTTAACGTTGTAGATCTTGTAGTGACTTTTAAGTTGTTGTTCTTTTTTTAATTTAAATATTCAACTGTAGTATATTTAATGCTTGAAAAGAGTAAAGTTAATACCACACGATCCAGGTTGTCCAAAACTGTTATTTTAAACGACATCTAAAACACTCACAGAAGATTTCACAAACAAAGGACGACGATCACTTTCGTAAAAATTCCCGCGATTCAAAGCGGAAATTTCCTTTTCGACCTGTGAAATAACCGATACCGTTTCGGCAGTTTTCGGATATCTTGGTTCGGTACACTTTCTAGATTTTGTTGGTCCAGAAAAGGAGATATTTTCAGCCTATTGACAAAATAGAATTTAAAGATTTAGAAAAACAAAGGTATAGAAGTGTTAGTAGCATTACTAATGAAAAGTAAGTAGCACAGATCTATAACTTTTAATATTATACCATAATAAGTGGCATATTGTTGAACTTATTTTCTCATTTCAAGTTCTATAGAAAAATTATGGTAAGGCGTTAGTTTTAAACCTTACGGAATTCACAAACCTAATCCCAGCCATTGTTACAGTATTGTTTACTTTACCACACATTACACATACATTATTCAGTATTATACTGGTATCATACAGTTTAATTAGCTTATATTCTCAAGGATGGCCATTTGCATCTTACAAGAATATCGGTTCAAGTTTTTTTAAGTTTACCTGCTTTAGAGATAATCTCTTAACTCCTCCATATGCAGAACTTAGAACAAACCAGTATTTTCCATGACTACAGATTTACAGATGTTTAATTTCATCTATATTCTTAGGTCTTTATAACTACTCTGAAAGTTAAATTGCTTTTCTTTAGGTACAACAAAACAGATTCAGATTGGGTCTATGACAGGCCATTAGAGTCATAATGCATCGATCCAACGCGTAGCCAAACAAGCCAATAATTATATAGGTTTCAATCACATGAAGCAAATAAAAATTCTGACAACGCTTTGAACCAGTGCTTAATGTCTCTGTAAATCGGAAAACAACAGGATGATAACGTTCTGAACCAATTCAATACATAGTCGAATTTCCACAATGCATTGACTCAATACGTTATGGCCTCGATGACTTTCCATATGAGCCAGCCTGTTGAATATTCCAGCATGTTCTATGTAGAGGCAGTGCTACACTCTGAATAATTCATACTTTATTATTTCAAATCTGATTCCTGTTTCTGGATACATGCAATCAGATAAGCCTGCTTAGTACATGTTATTACAGTTACATCCTCTCTTGGCTCATCTAGACGGAAATATTCCTTTTTTGCACTAAATGGTCCCAATTACATTATATAACAAAATCAATCGAAAAGTTAGTTACACTAAACTGTGGTTATTACCCCAGTACATACTGAGATCGATCGTTCCATATCCATACATGCTGACATAATGCGGCAAGCCAAAATGAACGACAATCAGTAAACTACGAATTAGGTATTAAGTATTGTTTGTTTGTTTTAAAATAAAGCCTCATTTGGCTATATACTGTGCCCGCCGCAGATAATCGAGCCCCGGATTTTAGCGCTGTAAGTCAGTAGGCTTACCGCTGTCCCATTCATTGGGGGACCGTATTAGGTAGTTTCATACAACTGAAATGAAAAAGAAAACGTTAATATGAAACTATAACTCGAATACATCCAAGTTCACTTAAGTTCCATCTCACATTAATCTATTCTTGTAATACTGGTGTCGAACGACTTATTTAGTTGTACGGAATACCACGTCAGGTTACTTCAGCATGTAAATATTTGTTATCTGCTTAGTTCAACGCTTCAGAAAAGCAGAATTTCTCCTTTAAACTAATCTTAACTATTTAAAATCTTTTAGTCCAAATGCCTAAGCAAATTAAAAATAAACTGATACTACGCCTTGAAAGTAAAGCGTTGATTTTCTGTATCAACTTCAGTTCTATGTATGCTTGCTGTATATAGAGCGAAAAGTTCTCCTTGTTAACAATAATTACAAAATAAAATGCAGTAATGACTAACAAGTAAGTTTTATTGTTTATGCTCGTAACACTAGAACACATTTCGAAAGTATGAATGTAACTCACCTTAGGATAAGACGCCCAGTTAGACTGAAATATAATGATACCCTGTGGATAGAAAAGACGATAAATTATTATCATATATGTTAGACTGAAAATTACTGACACCATTTGAGTATAAAATACATGAAATAATTATTAATTTGAGTTGGACTGAAAAATAAATAATGGTATCCTAGGGGTAGTAAAACATAAATATTGACAAATGAGAGCTAAAAATGATACTCTGTGGATAGAAAATTCATCACATTAGTAAGGTTGAAAAAAATAGTATTTATCCTGTCGGAAAGAAATGCCACAAATTAAATTATTAACAACTGAACTGAGTTGAAAATAATGATACATAAAAATTTTATTTTGAAAAATTGATAAGAGCGTTTCCATGTCATAAAAATAAGATATACATGAACTGATAATCAAAGTACAAATAAATAAGTATTACAGAAAGTTATGAAAAAAATCAATATCATTCTATAATGCAAAATAAAGTTAAACAACTGATAAAAAAGAACATGATGTTAAACAGGAGTTTATGGTCATCTAGGAATGAAAATAGAATATAACTACCATCAGAAAGTTTTGTTCTCGGGTTCTATTAGTGTATTTTCGCGGGCGCAGAAACTGGGGGTGCGTCAACATCCCCTGGCTTCAAATATAAGAGTGCTGCGTAACTCTTGCTTTTATAAACATGTTTTAACACAGCAATAATGACCGAGTAAATACCTTCCATCATATACAAGGTTTACTATTTCTTAAGCGGCTTCCAGTATCATCACTATAAAAAGTATTCCAGTGACTATGTGTATTTCACAGAGTATTATGCTGTCAAGTCGTTGTAAACCTTATTACACCAGCTTAGTGCCAAATATAACTTCTGAGGGAGAGAGAGTTTGGAATACCACTTTAGAATTAATTCGAAATTTATTCTATGTGCATCTTGTCTGACCTTTCCATGTTAAATGTTGTATTGAATTAAACATATTTAAGGGAATAGGGGAAATAAATATCAGAAAAGATATCGAACACACTAGATATTATGAGAAACACATTTTACAAGGCAACCAGTTTCTGTTGTACATTACTACTAATGTGTTGTTTAGGGAGTTACTGATTCATAAAGTATCTCTGAAGGGACGTGCAAGAATAAATCTTGCATAGCCATTGTAATTTATAACATAAAGATACCCATGGCTTGACATACTGATATATTGGTACGTAAATGTTATAAAAGACACGCACAACCTACAGAATGCTAATATTTTACACGAATCTAAACCTAGCAAGATAGTTGGTAGTGTGGTAGACGTGCCTGAAAGCGAAGAATTCGATAGACTAAAGGAAGAAATCAACTCACATATCGTCTACTTTATTTAGGGAGAAACCATAAAACTAAATCACCACAAGTCTATTAAAACATAACCTTCACTTGTTTATTCCAGTCACATTTTAACTTTATTGTGACCGTGTGCATAAGTTTTGTAATTCACTTTGGAAAGTTGTCATGCATATCTCCCAATATATACATAAACAGAATACTTTAATAATACTTAAAACATTCACTTCGTTATTACTATGAACTGATAGATTGTCTTCACGTAGAACGCATGTATTTATACCATATTGTTTCTCTATTTTTTATACTTATTATCACCCTGTCTCTGTTATCTAGATTTCCTAATCATTAACATTAATTCATCCTTTTTGCTGTATTTCCTAATTGCTTCTACATGAAAAATTATTGACAGAAGTTTTCCATTTTTGTTTCTAGGCCTGTACCGGGTCCCCCCAGTGGAACAGTGGTATGTCTGCGGACTTACAACTCTAGAATCCGGGTTTCGATACCCGTGGTGGGCAGAGCGCTGACAGCCCATTGTGTAGCTTTGTGCTTAATTACAAACAAAGAAAAGCATGTACCGATTGCCAGGTATGTCTGCTGTATGTTTAACACTCAAGTTTCGTAGAGGATTGACAAACTCCATACCAGCCCAGTTATACTATCATTACATTCAGTGAAGATTTAGAAAAAACTAGATATGTTTTAGATATTTACTGCAGGTGTGTATCTGAAACTTCAACTCCTAGAACAAATAGCATTAAAGCAAAGTTCAAGCTTTATGTAAAATAAATGCAAATAGAGTGTAGAGTTTGTTCGCTTGAAACTAATATTATAAATAATCTATAAGATCTTTTAGCAATAATAAGATCTGTCATTTCTCGTGGAATCATGGTCCAAACAGAGAATAATGAATAATTTAACAAACGGATATAAACACATTTCAGTCGTTGTGCAGATTAATAAGATCTTTAAACTGTATCGACTGATAAGACTAGCATGCAATATTCGGGCTCCGATGCAAATTTCAAATGCCTCTCATAATTCACAGAGGCCCAGAAACACACGAGTAAAATCAAATGGCAAAGTCGTGTTCGGCGACCCTGCGAACCTACTCCAAGATCACCATCATACCTGGGAGACCTCCTGGGGGGCATTTTAACCCCCTTAGAAGGGACTACTCCATATAGATAAGGTTACCCCGCTTGTCAAGATTGGTATTGTTATTTCTATAAATGGGAGAAGGAGTTCGTGGACAAACAAATCAATTCCCAAAAACACAACGTAGATCACTATAGGATCTATAAATCTAATTTTGCTCGTTGATTTAAATTATCTGTTTAACTTTCTATAAATTCAGTTCACGCAAACTTCCAGCCCCATTTTCAAGTTTCATAATGTGGAGATGGGAGACAAGAAACAGTTTGTTATCAAACCCTTCTACTAAAGCAGATAGTGATGAATGACACATGGTTCATAATTGCAGAACTATTCACGGTAATGAGGTTGAAAAATGCATGAAGAAATTAGGTTCTTATTTTTTCAAACTTTTATTTTATCATGTGAACAAATACAGTTATTTAGATAAATTTGAAATATAGCATTAACCCAACTTATTATGTATACTTGAAATAGAGCTCTACTCTAACTCATTATAAATAAGGTGCGTGTTAAAATTTTCGTATTTGTTCCGGTGTAATAATGGTGCAACGTATCTTGACCTAGAATTTAGAATTATTTCATCGTGAGAATTAATTTCTTATTTAAATTAAATAAATCTTTTTTTTTCAATAACCAATTTATAATTGAAGCCACTGTTATACATTTATTCTATCGTTATCAGCTGAGTCTTTTGAGACGTTTACTTTCTGAGAATATTGTATAACACCCACGAAGAAAGACTGCTATTCTATTTTTTGTAAAGACCTGTATGAAAACGAATTGAGCTCACTAAACAAAGTCAACCAACAAGCACATACTTACTTGGGTAGCATTAGTTAGAGCAAATACGTAATGTAACGTGGTTGTAGAAGAGTATTCCAAAGCAAGAACGCTGAAGAACCAGTTAATAAAATGCCAGGGTAGAACTGCCATAGCCGATCGAAGGTATAGCCTGCAATTATTGTGATCGTTATTACTGCACAAATAAGTTAAATATATCCTTCTATATTATACATACACTGCTACTGCAAGAGAGGTTTGGTCTTTTGGAACTAATTAAACGTATTTAACAATATCCACGAGTTTATTTATTACAATTTAGGTGTACAAAGCTGGTATTCAGGGCGTAATTACTTGATTAAGCACATGCCTGTCCTGGAAATAAAAAACAAAAGGGAATTCGCCATTTTTTTACTTTCGCATCTTAAAAGTACAAAAGATGTTTATAGATTTTTAAAATAAATTTTAGATCCTACTTTGAAAAGACAAAAAGAAACTTCGTAAGTAGCTTTCTCAGAGAAAGTAATTATTTCCTTTCTTTACTTATGATGTTGTCATTGTCAGCTGAGAGAATTACTAGAGCGCTAACTGGGCTCTACAAAAGATTTTATCTCTCTGTATGTACTTACCGCATTTTATTGATTTCATCTCTCGGGGTGATGGCTCGAAGAAAGAGATATTTCCTCAGAGACGCTATGATGAACACTGTATTCGCCTATATATATATATGTTGACAAAACGAGGAAGCAAAAAAACAAGCAAAATTATAAGATACTTAACTACAGCTACAAACTGCTTTTGATGATGAAGCAGATGATGATCTTGCTTCAGAAATAACGATTCTATATACATCATACGATTACTATTATCTTAAGCATGTTGATACTGCCAAAATTACATTTGAAAATAAAAGGAGAATGTGTGCGTATGTATACATTTATTTGAGTAAATAACATCTAGAGCTAACACCTATTTTAATAATAGTATATCTTACAAGGCTTATAGGAGTAGTGTTGTCAAACTTAGTGTACAAAAACACTGAACCTTGTTTTGCTAAAGCCAAACTTTAAATCTTAACTTTCAAGTGGTTAATACGAAAACACGATAAAGGCAACAATATTTATGTTTATTATGTTCTTTATACATTGTTACATAGCCTAAGTCATAATTTAAAAACATTCTATATACACACACACACACTAATACAGGGTGTCCGAAAAGTCTGGAAACATAAGTGATTTGCAGCTTTTCTTAATTTCAGATACGAGACTGATCGTGGCGCTGTCAAAGCATAAGAAGATTGAGTTAATCCTGCTGTGTGTCAGAGAAGGTTGGTCCTAACTGAAGGTTGCTGCCGTATTTAATGCAAGCCATCCATTAAGGAGACTGGCAGTGTGGCCAGTGATAATAACACGAATCTGTTTCGTAGTGTTCAAAGATAACGGAAATACCGTCTTCAAACTTGTTTCGAATTACAAGGACAGCAAGTGGAACACATTCTGGAAAATTCGTTGAAGTGTCTATGGTCCCTGGCTTTTCGAACACCCTGTACATACAGGGATATTATGCAGAAAACTCTGTACTTAAGATGGTTACATTCTAAAACTTACCTATCCTAGTAGAACGCAACTTCACCAGAGATTCATTTAGTATCATAAGTTTGATTCAGATAAGTCTGGACATGGTTACCGGTTTTTCAAATCAATATTATACTGCATGCCTGAAGCGCTTTTCTCGCAAACTAGCATTGTTTTTTATTTCTGTGTTTTTTCACCCTATTTTTTAACCACATAAGATTGTCGGTTTTAATAAAATGCGTGTCAATATTCAGGAGATTAAGAGAATCAATGAACGCTGTCCAAACCAGATGATGCGCGCAGCAGTTTCATGTAAAGATAGGCTTTACCTATTGATTGAGGGAAAGCAAATTGAGCACCTTCTGCAGCGGTTTTTGGGACACCCTGTACCATGTCCAGACTTCCATGAATACAACATGTGATTCTCAATGTACTTCTGGTGAAATTGGATTCCCCCTAGGAAGAATAGTTTTAAGATATAATAATTTTTAGTATAAACCTTTTTTTCATAATTGTCTTATGCGTTATGTACCATTACCAAGGATAGATCATCACATGATCCAAAGGGAATAGGTAATTTTTCAGTGGTGGCTAATTACTTTTAAAAAATCATATATTTTAAACAAGCTGATGCAGCCGTTAGTTGTGAAAAGATATAAAGAAGGAGAAATAGCATAATATAAATATCTTATATTTATGTAATTTAGTATAAATAGTTGAAAACAATTATAAAACAAAAACATACGTCAGCTAAATGAAGTCAGTTTATTTTAACCTCGTTGACTCAGCCAAACCTAACGTTATTACAGGAACAAACTTCACAATAAGAGTATACATTAAAAACTCATTCAGGTACAGATCAAATTTTTAACAAGAACATACAAGATGACAAGTTGATGTGAATAAATAAAAAAATATATCTAAATAAACAATGATATTGGTCACTTTGTGTTTGTAGAATGACTGAATGTATTATTTCTTAAAGTCAGTGGTAATATAAAAAAACGGGAAATTTGATGTCTATAATTGTATAAAAAAACTAACCATTATCAACAACACCATTGGTACAAGGAAAGATATTCCCATTCCTCTGTGCACAGATAGCCAGCAACTAAAGAAAGATTGGTATAAATAGTTACTTAAATTTTAAAGTAGATTAGGCTTAGTTAATTAAATCTGTATTACAAACACGTAGATTAAAATAAAAGAATGTGGTTTTAATTCATTTATCAAAGCTTGTGAACAAGAAATTAAAATCTGTTGTTAGAATGCTTAGTTGGCATCTAACGTTTGGGAAAAGGTGAGCTAAGAAGGAATAACGAATTTCATGATAATTATAGAGAGTATTTACAAGCAAATTAAAACTGACAGCTAAATAATAAAACAAAACGACTACAAAGTTTTAATTTTTCTAAGTTACAAAATGATTTTTAACTTTTGTAATGTAGTTCAGTTTAAAAAACACTGTAAAAAGAATAACTGTTATAAGAACATATTCATTAGAAATCTTATTCAAAGTTCTGAAAAGATTAAAAATTTTTAAACATTGCATGGATCGGATCTGTTCTAGAATTTACGCCTCAAAACTATTTCATTACTAACATACCAAAAAGTATTGAAAGCTGTGTTAAGTAAAAAAATCGATTTATATTTTGGCCTTTTATAAGAATTCGTGCGAACATTTTAGAGAAACCATATAACGTTTATGTTACTTTAATACAAAGAAAAAACACCTTTACCTGAGTAAAAGTTGCAATGGTTCTTAAAAGTAATAACAACAGTATACTGTATTCGACAAAAAAAATTAATAAATTAGACCCGAAAGTCTGAAAATCTTCCTTTCGAATCTCCTCCAATCGTAACGTTATTCCCTACATTTAAAGATTTTTTATATGGAATTCTAATTTTATTGTTTTAACGATATGTTAGTAAATGCTACAGCTAATGTTTTTTTATGGAAATCTTGCTATTACCAGTAACTTTATGCAATTTTACTGATCCCATTTACAGTTATAAGTAATTTCTGAAAATAAATATTTTTATCATTCTAATTAAACTAAAATAATTTGAAATATAATAATATTAATGATAAAATTTCAGTAGTACAATTCACAAAGTATATCAATAATAATTTCAGCAAGTTACTATAATACACTAGTATAAAAGTCTAACTATAACGGTTGAAAATAAAATGAATAATAGTCACAATATTTAATATGACATTAAGCTATTACGAGACTCGAAACTTGTATTGAGTCGTCTTTTGGGAACTCTCCTAATAATAACTCATTAAATTTGATCAGCTTAGGATATTTATTCCTATTAGGACTAAATACTCGAACATAACGAACGTCACACATTCATCTTTATAATATTAAATGTAATTCAGCAAATCATATTAATGTAAATAGGTTAAAAAAAATATAAAGAAAGGTAAAAGTCTGTTATTACCTACAAAGCACCTAAATATCCTAGTTGTTCATTATTGGAGCTAATGCAGCTTGCAATACATAAAGTATGAGTAATTCTTTTTTGCGTTTATCTATATGCAGCAATTCACATCAAACGACTTAAACTATTGATTACATTTCAACATTTTACTTTTACGTTAGTATTTTGAAGATTATATTATCGCCAGACAAAACAGTTCGTCAAAAGAATTAGGAAAAAGTAAAATGTAATATTTTTCTTGTATATATGTCTTACTGGAAAATAAAAAGTAGCATTTCCAATTATTAGGATCTAAGTTTAAGAATAATTTTACCAGTTAATAAAAAAAAACGTAATTCAAATATATCTTTGGAAGGTCAGTCAGATCCATTATTTTTATTATGTGCCTACAGTGTTGACACTAATTCATGTTAAAATCGATTTCATCATTCTTTTTGATGTTTTATTCATACTAAGCAACAATATTTTTGGAAAGTTACTCTACCGGTAGTCATTTTTCTACAACATACAAACCTACTTCATTTGTTTACTTACTAAAGAGTGGTTTCATATCCATTAGGGTAATATGCAAAGCAAAAGAAGACAAAAATGGCAGGAATTATCCAAGAAACCAAGAAATATCCAAAAATTCTAAACTTGGTGTCAGGGAAGTTCAGTAACCGTCTGTGGAGATTTTCAACGTAAGTAACCATCCAAAAGCTGGCGACCAGGTGAAGATAGTGAAGTAGAAGCGATATCGAAGTACAAAATACCTGTGAGTAAGTAAGGGCAAACCCATTAAAGAAATTATAAAGTTTTGAAAATAGTACAGATGCACAAAATTCTGCGTTTTAACTTATTTCTCAACATTAATAAAGTTTATGTTTAAAGTGTCTATTCAACCTCATTATTTCAGTTTTGGTTAGAAAGTTTTATCTCGATTCAATTATTCTTTAAACAAAGATTCATCTTCAAAAACAAATTGTCATTATATATTTGTCATTTATCAAATGTATATCAAATATACAGTAAGGGGTTTGAAAGAATCAAGCTGAGCTATACAAGGAAGAAACAAACAAGTATTTTTTAATATAAAAAACAAATAATAATGTTCATAGATTATTGCTTCTATAAATAGTAAACTTAGCTGCTTTGTACTCTTTAATTAAATTTTTTGTTTTACATCGACTTTGTTCATTGAAGACAAGTACATTTTTACCTTGCCTGAGGTTGCTCCAGCTCCAAAGATGAAGATAAATTGGTTTACAGCCATGGCAAAAAGAACATTTACTAGAATGATAGGTGGTCCTGGGTTCGTAGTCCTAGAAATAATGTAGTCCTATTTAAATCCAACTCAAATGTTAAATCTTAATTTTTTAATGCCTCCTACAAACAGATGGGTTTTTAGTGAATTTTAGTAGCAAAACCCACGATGAATTTAGTTGCCCAAGAAAAGACTCTCATTAACAGAAATCGTGAACTAAGCACAAACTAAGAAATTAAGATCTCTAATGATCTTACTTTAACAAGTAAGAGCTCCGATTGAAGAAATATTTATTTAACCTAAGTATGTTTTTCTGAACTAGCTGGGCTATCAATAGCTAAGTTTTCTCAAGAAAGACACTACAGTTAAGAAGATATCTTACAATAGGAGCATACTAAGATTATTTTAACCTGACTGCTAGCTAATTATCTGAAGAGCTCTGGTTTTAACGAATGGCCTCTTCAGCCTTGAGTATAGCATATGTATTGTGGTTGACATATTATCACATATTCTTCTTTGCTTTAACTCGTAAGTTTTTATAATTACCCAATGAAGAACTTCCATTAAGAAAAAAAATTAAGCTTACTATAAATTCCGATTTTTTTTAACCAGTTGGCTTTACTGGAACTGAACTTGCCAAAGAAAAAAACACACAATTAAGAAAACAATCCATCTAAAAAACTGCTAAGTTCCTAATGGATTTTTATTGTGTTGTTGATGAATAATTTTAATAGCTAACAAGAAAGAATCAAATACAAAAAAGGCCATAGTAGCTTTTGGTTAAGATAGGTATCACATTGGTCCAAACTTTCCTGTCTTAATAACCTTTTTAAGAAGCCAGTTCTTATCAACATAGAATATACTTGGGATATTTATTTTAATTTAAAATGTTGCCAAATATTACAAAAAGGGTAAAAAATGGCAGTTTTATTTAGTTTTTTCTTCCAACTCTATTCTAGTATTTAATACTACACATTCCCTGATATATATATATGTATAATAATGATTTAGGCAAACATGGTTCGATATCTGCGAATTCAAATCCTAAAATTAAAGCAACAATTGAAAATATTGTTAGAGTTTGGCGCCATGAGACATATTTGAGGGATAATACTCATTTAATAATAAATCAAGTAATTAAGTTTTTAATTACTGAGAAGTGAATTTATTTATCTAAACTACATTCTATAATATTCTATATATTAACTTGTATTTTTTTAGAATGGGAAAACCGTAAAAACTCACCTGAAATTAAAGGGAACTGTGACCAAAGTAAAAGCAATTGCAACAAGAAATATTGCACATCCGATTATAATAACTGATGATACTGCGTTGTTTTCACGGAGTTCCTGGAGTATATGATAGAAATAAAATAATATACTGGAAAAACATTTAAATATTATGTAATTTTTCCTGGTGATTATGGAATACCTTCAAGTTCTAAAGATTGGTTTGGGAAAATGTAGGTTTCTAGCTGAAACTTAAACAGGGAATTATTTTTACAAACTTACTAAATATCATTTATTTACAATCGCTTCAAACGATTTAATATTTTTTTTAGGTTTCTTGGGTAATAATCATAATATATATACGAAACCTCATACAGTTGATAACTAAAAGTAAAAAATGGTTTAATTTGAAATTAATAAAGAGTAGTCTAAGATAAGTTCGGTTTCCTGCTAAATTAATTATTTGTATTTTGTATTTATAGCAAAGTTACCAAGGCTATCTGTCGCCGTCCTTTATTTTGCACTTCTGACCAAAGAGAAGGCAATTCTTCAGCAGCACTCTATAGTCCCCCGGTGGGACAGCGGTAAGTCTTCTTATTACAACACTAAAATCAGTGGTTCGATTCCCCTCATACACGCTTAAGAATTGGCTATCGCTCATATAACGCACTTACAGTGAGAGAAATATTTTGTGGTATTGGAACCAGACTCATCAGCTTCAGAATATAGAGCTCTACGACAGGACCATCCCGCACCCAGTTTCGACAAATAACTTAACCAAATAGGATCAAATAAGTATGTGATATTGCATTCAAATATCACTCCAAATTTTGATCTACTCACTTCTTTTGGAGGTCTTCTTCTATCCACTACAGCCACCACACCAACTCCACTGCAACTACATGTTACATGCCCGTCTAGTTGTTCTACTAGTTGACAGTCGTCATATTTCCAAATTCTTATAACATCGAAAGCATAGCATTAGTTACATCAGTAAATATAATTTGCTATTTGTAAAAATTGCTTTAAATGTATAAATAAGCAAAAAATTCGAGATAAACACAATTATCTGCCAGTAACAAAACAAATAAATCAAAGACCATTTCATGTAAATTCCCAATATATATGCTTATCATACTCACTAACCTAAACAGGTACCTGATGATAAAAAAAAAACCTAGTGGAAGCATTGTACATTTTTACTGTGTTAAACTTGTAAATAAAGTTCGTTCGTAACCATATCAAGCCGTCTCTAAACTTTATTAGTCTCAAAGTCTTCAAAGAGTTGAAAATGTCATGTTCTAAATCATTATTTATCATAAAAACTGATATACACATATATATACATATATTTTCATATATGCATGAAAAACAATGGATAAGATTTGATTTTATCCAGTCAAAGTTTTGATGCTGCTAACGATGTGTTCGATTTAGCGGTCTCACTGTTCTAGAAAAATAATGGAAGTTAGTATACAATTGGATCAATTATGTCGTTAATTACTACATAAATTTCATGTCTGTCTTTATATGTTCATAGAATAACATAGATCTTGAAAGTTTTTTTGTTTTTCTTTTTGCTCTATTCTCTCCGCATATTTATTTGTATTGCTCTGGTAACATCAATATTTCGTTACTGGCTTCATCCTCTATTTTCTTCCACACACACACAACAGCACATCAATTTCCTGAACATATCCTGGCAGACAGTGAAAGCTTTCTGATGGGAAAGAGGAAAACTTCTACACTAAAAGTAGAACTTTCGTAAAGAGCAAATTTCTTATAGCTTTGCTAAACTAATAAAAACACGATGAAACGAATAGTTGTCAAAAATGTCACAAACAAAAAAAAAACACTATAAAAAGATTGCTTCTTTGTTTGTTACCTGTTCTTATTTTTGTGTAGCTTGCTAGTGGTATTAACTTATACGAAATAAGATTACACAATGCAGACGATGACTAACCTGCTGGTGTTCCACATGGTTGCACATTCAGTAACATAGTCATCCGAAATTGAATCCTATGAAATGAAAATAACCTTAGTTTCCGAAAAATATAAGCATTCCAGATCTTTTTAATATTATTATATGTCTTTTTATATTGTTAGCAAGACGTTTCTTAAACCAATAGACCAAAGCTGAAGCCTATGCTAAAGTAAAATACACACTAAATCTGTAATTACTCCGTACTAAACAAGCCCGGGAAAGTAACGAAATGACAATTTCTTAAAAAGAAAAAAACTTATCAGAAACTTTACTGTTTTCTGAATCTTCATCATTCTTTCTCGTTGAATACGTTTGTCAATTTGATACATGCTGTGTTATTAGTTAAAGGCAATATGTAATGGTACTCTTCATATAAAAATAGATTCAATTTGATCCATGTTTTTGCACAACTGATGAAAATTCCATATTTCTCCCACTAAATAATTGAATATGATAAATTAATTGTTTTCACACGCACTCTCTCTCTCTCTCTTTCTAGATGAGTAAATACTCAGTACATGAGTTAGGCATGTTTTTTATAGTCCATTACATATAGAAATTTCTATTCAATAATAATATAATATTTATTCCAATAATTTATTGAATTTAACCAAATTTATCAACTTGCCTGTCGAAAGGCTCCAGCACAAAATTTGAAAGCTCACAGAAATTATTATCATTTGCGTGGAGAAACGTCCTATATTTTTTCTTAGTGTTTAAATACTACCACGTCAAAAGTGTGAAATATTAAAATGATTTCTCACACTCCTTTTGACAGTTTAATCAAATTCTGCACAATTATTTTTGTGTTTTGATTCGTTTATATTCTGCAAAAACAATGCAGAAATAGCTCAATGACTAAAGAGGCGAACGGATTTTAAATTACATTATAGAGTGTAGCGTTGGCTAGAATATTATTTATGTATTAACTGTCACAACGAGAAAACGGTTTAAGTTTCAATTGGCACGGCCAGCTCAGCCATAAATCCCATCTCTCAGATGGTCCTCAAGCTCAAAATGTTTGCAAAATCAGCTAAAAGTTTGGGATTCAGAAGATGTTTCTTGGTTTTCATAAATGTTACAAGAATATGTCCATTTTGGAATATTTCTACTGTTTACGTTTACTATTCTTTGCCAGTTTTTCGGTTCTAGAAGCTGTCATACGAAACAGAAGTGATCGATAATTTAACGATGCTGAAAACTTCAACTTCTGATCTAATTCGTCATGAAATTTCTGGCTTTTGTTCAATATTTATACTAAAAAAATATAATAAACATAATTTCTTAAAAATCTCATATTAAAGTTTAACCTCTTTAATCAAAAACCTATCATCTAAAAAACACAGATTAACGTCAGGTATTATTAACGTTATCATAAAGTTTTCAGTATTAAAAACTTCCAAACTAAAGATTGAAATTATTGTTGAACTTCTTTATCAAACAGTTATTCGTCTACAAATGCTGAACAATTTTGACATTGTTAAAGGCTTCAACAAACTCTATTGATTAGAAATGAAGTACTGAATTTGAAATAATCATTAACGTTTTTTATCAAGATCTCATCGTCTAAATTATAAAACAGAAAGTTATATACGGTTAACATTTTCTCAATAACTTGTCTCGTTGTGCTGAATGACGGTGCTGTATTACTTTCAAAGTCTTTATGAAAAGATCATTATGATCTAAGAGCTCAACGAAAGAACTAATAGTTTTAACTCCACTATTAAAAGATCATTCTCAAAGTGCAGAAACAAATGTGTGTTACTATTATAGCGTTTTAATGATCTCTGCATATATAAGTGCAGATGTAAAAGCCTGAAATGATAATTGCCGTGTTTATCACTGTTTTATTTTCTGAACTGAATGTTAAAAAGTAGAGATTTTGTAGTATAACTAATGCTCTCCTGAAAAGTTCATTGCCATTCGAATCTTTTAGAAGTAATTTCAAAAATGAAAAGAAAGCGGAAACATAGAGGATCTTTGATGTCTAATAAAGCTGGAAATGATGAGTCTACTAACTGCTTACCAGTACCGCCAGTGTAATGTTATACTTAATATCGTAGTTGAGCTCGTCCCCAGTTGCTACTTCCTTATGAATCGTTACAATAGACAATGCACTCCGGACAATCACGTTCTCCGTCGTCAAGATGTACTTTAGTCCAGAAACTTGAACCCCACACACAATCCAGTTTCTTGAACTTTCTATGTAAGGAGAGAGTAACGATGAGTTCTTTCTTAGTAACGTAACTAGCCTACTCTGTTAAATCCTAGTTGCTCTTAATAATATAAGCGAACATATAATGACAATATCATAATTCAAATTACCTGCAACGTCAACATTAACATCTCTTTTTATGTGTGAATGGTTATATTTTCTAATTTAGTTCAAAGATCAACTATAAAAATGATGAAACACTAATGAGAACATCTTACACATATTGGGAAATTAAAAAATTTAATGTAAAAAGTAGATTTACTATTTTATATTATCAAAATTTCCTGTTTGTTATTTCTTCCCAAGTCGTTAACATTTCGGTTCTTTCTAGCTTTGTTTATTGTGCAGATAATTAACATCGTTATTCACGTAAGAGGATTTAATTTTGCTTGACTGACCCTCACACCTATTCGCTTGGTCTGAAGATGGCTTTTTGGATATTTGTACCAAAAGTTAAACTCAATTCATAAAACGATGTTCAACATTTTACGATTTACTTGCAACTACAACCTCCTCACTCGATCTTTCTCGCTCTGGTGGTCCGATTATGAACTATTTTTCAATATTGTAATTTTCATTGTAACCAGGTCCCCCTAAAAGTAATGAGATACATCTTAGAATACGTATCTTGCCAAACTTTACACTGACCTTCTACTTTGATTTGGCATCGGCTTCGAACACCATGTTTGAGCAAGCCTAAGGTATGAAAGTTTATTAGAGCTGCATCGGGCAACTAAACAACTTTAGTCGAATGAGATTCCGTAATTTGCGTTTCTTCGGCTATCTTCCTCATGAAAACATCCATTGATTTCGAGGCGTAGCTGAAAGCTCAGGAAGCGTCGTCAGCTTTAAATCCTTGTTTGTTTTCTTGTTAAGGGTTAGGAAATACGTCCATCTTTATTGCAATGGCTTCTTGGGTCACATGGCTCTTTTTCTTAACCCTTCACTTTGTGGATGAGGGTGTTGCTCCGAATCAGTTAAGGAGTTTGGTTTCGAAGTCCATTGTTGTTTTAAACGCTGTGTTGTGTGAATATTTTACTGATTCCATGAAGTACATTGTATTCTTTAACTCTAAATCGTTTAACAACCTCGTGGCGCAAATATCCTTTCTGGAAAATGGCTTTTATATATTCCTTCAGCCATAAGTATACCTTGACAACACTGCACTGTCGAATAGTCAAGAATTCGCCGGGAACCAAATTTATATGTGTGTGTGTGTGTGTGTGTGTTTGTGTGTAAAACATTTCGACACTGAATTAACTTATGCATGTCATTCTTATAAATTGAAATTAACCCTCTTTGTATGATCCCTAATTCCGAAGTATAATAGTTCTAAAAGCATTTCAACAAAAAAGGACGGAGATCAAGTCATGTCTATGAATTATTTGAAGCAGAGATGATGTTTGACAATTGTGACTGGAATAACAGATCAGTAACTGATAGCTTAATAAAACTAAATTTGCCGTAGTTCCCTGTGTAACATAATGGTTCTCAGTAAACGTCATTTTTGCATGATTTCTACAAATGAACTGAAACGACATTAACCTTTTAAATGACACACTATGCCCCTCAATAGCATAGCGGTATGTCTGTGGAGTTACAACTCTAAAAACCAGGTTTCAATACCTGTGGTGATCAGAGCACAGATAGCCCATTGTGTAGCTTTGTACTTAATTTCAAATCAACAACTGACAAATTAGACATAGTAGCCACTGAGGAAGACGCTAGACTGTGTTGAAACTTTTGGCACATTTTAGTGAAATTGTTTTAAACTTAAGTTTGTTAGGTACGTCAATAAAAAAGGTTGCTATTGTTACATACGCAGATGTTTTAACTCACCTTTTATATTTAAACAACTTAACTGAAACAACACTTGTAGAAAGGTGAACCGTAAAAGAACAGAAAGAAAATGAGTACACTAATTTTGAATTTATAGGAACCAATCATATGTTACCTTAATAATGTTCATAACCACAGCCTTAATACAGACAACATATACTCAGTAATAAGCATAATGAACGTAGTAAAACGAAACTTTAACAGAGACAAACACAAGTTCAAATTAAATAAAATATTAAGCATAGTGAAACATCAAAGCTAAACCTTTCAAGTACGCAAGCATAATAAAAACACTTACACCTTGTCCTAAATAACCACAAGGAAACTAAAACTTAACTATTACCAGAGGCAAATAATTTCAAGTAAAATCAATATCCCGTACTTATTGATATAAATGGCATAAAGTTAAACCTTATTACATAATATTGAGCATAGTCGTTTATCTTATTATACCAGTTTATCTGTGGAGTGATGCTACGCATTTAAAACAAAGTCTCAGAATAAAAAAGTTTATCAAAGATAATATCAATGTGTTTTTAATATTTTATTAAGTTAATCATTGCAAGTCTTTTCTTATGTTTTCATGTTCAGTCTATTCTTGCGTTCACCAACTCAAGTGTACGTTTAATATTGACGTTTC